AGAATTATTGTGGAGGGCAAGAAAGAATTATTTCAGAGAGGGAAAGGGAGAGCACAGAAGAATTTTTATGGAGCGCGCAAGAAGGAATTATTGCAGAGAGAGTTATTACAAGGAGAGAGCAGGGGGGCACAAAAAGGAATTTTTATGATGAGTGTGAAAAGCAATTATTATGGAGAGAGAAGGAAATAGGGTTACGGTCAAGGGAAAGAGAGAATAATAATTAGGGAGAGAGGAATATTTAGAGAGCAAAAAGAATAGTACTTGGGTTGGCCACCTCTTTCCAAGCCCTCACCTTTTGGGTGCAGCAACTCTAATATTCCTGCCAGGCAGGTGTGCGGGCACAAATGATGATGACTAGAAAGAATGACCAGATCACAGAGTCCCAGGTGCTTCTCCAATAGATATCCCCATCCAGTGAGCTACCCTGTCAAACCAACCAAAACAAGGGGTTAGGTTTTTGGACCATTGCTCCGATGGTTTTTCAGGGTGACAGACGTAGCTGTTGATAACTTCACAGAGCGCGATACTCTATCTTACCTGCCTTGTACCCTCTTTAGTGCCTTCTGCTTTTATGGCATTGCTGCTGATTAAAAGGGCATAATTAAAAGTAGCAGGGTTCTTTTAAGCTCCTCACTAGCATTTTGTTTTCTTTTGAAACAAAAACTTGTGTGTTCCCCATACGCCAACCTACCAACATTCTTCRCCAAGAAAGGCCATCAAGTCCTCYTCACTTGGTGGGTCTAAATCAAAAGGGTGGAGACAGTCACATCAAAAAGCCTTCTCTGGCTGATCCCRCRTGAGCTTACAGAGAACACCAGAAGAGGCAGCAGGGCCCTCACCAAGAGCCCTTGTTCCAGCAGAGCCAGTCAACCTTATTCGGCTCAGTCCTGAGCTTCTCTGCTTCCTCAGGGCTCACCAGCCCTCTCAGCTGTGGCTGTCGCAGCAGGAGCTGCCCGTCTCACGGATGTGGAGCACCAAGGCCACTTTCTCCCACTGCCAGCTCATCCCCGCCTCCGCAGCAGTGAGTGCAACCACTCTGAGCAAGAACTGGCACCCTAAACAGATGCACAGAAAAAGGGCAATTCAGCTCCGCGCTCCGGCAGACGTGACTCCACACTCCAGGCATGGGCAGAGACAGCGCCAAATCCATGCCAGGCCAAGCCCTGCGCTGCCACCTGCACATAGCGAAAGCCCCACCGGCAGGCCACAGCCCAAGGCACACAGCCACCCAAAGGGCTGCAGATCCTCTCACCACACTCCTCCACCGTGCTCCTGTCTCGGACCGTGCATGTGCCAACTGCCGCCCCACAAGACCCCAGTACAGTGCCACGTGAGATGGACCCAAAGCCACCATGCAGATGCCACCAAGAGGGGACCCAGCAGAGGCCAGAGGTGGAAGGAGAGGGAGGGAACAGGTGAGACCAACAGTGGCCTCAAGTTGTGACAGAGGAGATTCAGATTAAAAGTTAGGAAAAAAAATCTAAATGAAAAGAGGAGTTAAACCTGGGAATAGGCTGCCTAGCAAAGTGGTGGAGTCATCGTCCCTGCCAGGGTTCAAGAAATGAGTAGATGAGACCAGTTTAACAAGCATGGCATTAAAAGGCTTACAGATGGACTTGATGGTCTTGAAAGTCTCTGAAGATCTCTTGAAGATTACTGAAATGTCAGAGAGTAGCAGTTGACAGTGGTGTGTTGACACCGGCAAGCTGCTGGAGGATAGTGGGGAACCCGGGCTTACGGCCACACTTCTGCTTCTCTGATCTTCAGGTGAATCAGTGAGCACCGGGGAGCGCTAAGTGCACGTGCTTTTCCTTACCTTTTCAGGACAGCTACTTCAATAGTGGAGAGCGGCAGCACGCAAAGCAATCTGTGCATACGCACCCCGCCTCCCCTACTCCACCCCCAGCCATTGCAGTACTAATTTTTAGGCACAAGAGGATAGCAGGGAGTGCTTCACAATGCAGAGCGCATGCATGCTGCTCTTACGCTYGCAGTTCTGTGGTTTTGACAAGTTCAAGAGGCTTTGTTTGCTTTTCAGAACGGATGATATTTTTTTTTCCTAAACATTAGTTTATGAGCCTTGTTTTATTACTGTTTAAATAATATCAAAGGCTCCAGCCCTGCTCTTGAATAGATATAYAGGTAGCCAGGTTTTACCTGGAATAGCAGATTCTTCAAAGCTGGTGGCAAGAAAAATTTTGCAGCCCACTCTGCGTTTGCCATTGCCAGGGATCAATAAGACCCTGACCCTTCACTGCTAACAGTCAGAATGGGCAGGCACGTCCCGTTTCTATCGCATCTCTGGGGTTAGAACAGGCATGAGCAGCACAGAGCACAAGCACTGGCTCCCTGACGGAGCAGTACCAAATTTCCAACACGGGAGGGCATTGGTGAGAGTGCCACAGTGCACTGTGCATCCACATCCCCCACCAACCCCTTACAGTTACAGTACCAACTTTTAGGCAGAGCAAGGCGTGGGGGAGCACTGCACAACACAGGGAACATATGCGCTGCCCTTTCAGCAGTAGTTCTGCTTTACTGACAYCTTCAGGGGCGTCATTCACTTTCCAGAATAGCAGGACTTTTATGTGTTTTTTGTTTTGTTTTGATTTGGGTTTTTTTTTTGGAATTTTTTCAACAGTGCCTGTAGTTGAACAGGATTTTTTTACAACAGTGCCTGTAGTGCCTGTTCATGTTTAAAGGATAGCTGTCCCTGCTTGAGCAGGAGCTTGGACCAAACGATCTCTAGAGGTCCCTTCTAACCTCAACCATTCTGTGATAAGAAACCCCCTATTTTATATAGATGTGTGTGTATCCACCATCCTTACCTGGACTGAGGCAAGCAGTTCCTTCCAAGAGGGTGCAAGAAAAATGTTACTGTCTAGTCCCTATTGGCACTTTCTAGGAGCTTAAGATGACGTCTCCCATCTGGGGTAGCTGTCTGCCTCACTTGCAGTTTTACTTTCTGGATGTGTGAGTGCTGCCTTAGGGGTGGTTATGTAGGCTGCATGTACGCCCTGTCTCTGGAGTATTTATTTTTGGACACACGAGAGCAGTGCTGAGCACGGCAGTGGCAGTGTGCATGCGTGCATGGGCCTTAACCATTGCAGTACTTCTCGTAGCTACAGGATGGCTGCAGTCAGTGCTCCGGGGCGCAATGCACATGCGCCCACCTTGTGCTGACACTGTACAGCCTCCTTCCCACGTGAAGGCAGTAAAGTACAGGGTGAGTGAYGGAGCCCCTTGCACACAGGCGGGGAGTCAGCCCCTTGACCACATGCGCAGAGCGGTCTTCATTCGGCCCATGCGCATTGGCACCACAAGGATGTCTTTCTTCAGCAAAGAGACCGTTCTACTTTCCAGCATATCCATTTCTTTTTTTTATTTTACTAAAACAGCATCACTTCTATTACAGTCTGAAAACAAACCGTTATGGCTGGGCATGTATTTCATGCAGATGTGCTTGCATCTCCCTCATACCTGGTTTGAAGCAGGCAGCTCCTTCTGAAGGCTTCAGAAACCAAGCTTTCACCTTAACAGTGTGAAAATACAAACCAGGATTACTCATAGGCTATACTAAAAAATGAAAAAAAAAATGTGTGTGTATATATAATAATATATATATAAACTTGGGTTTAAAATGAGTGAAATCCCACCTCCAAAATATTTCAGGGTTAAACTACTCTATTCTGCTACCCTGACTACATCACTCCCCCAGCCCCAGGACAGACGCACACAAGCTACCACCATCCAGTAAGCTCTACAAGAGCACACTTGTGCAGCTCTGATGCTCTGGACAAGAACAGAGAGTCAAATACCACTGCCTGTGGCAGAAAGGGGACAGTGAAGTCCAGAACAGGAATGCAGAAGAAGCCAGCAAGGCCCAAGACCTTGATCACACAGGAAATAAAACTGTGAAAGGGGGCCAGGAAGGCACAAGATCCCAGAGTGCTGGTGGAGCAAATGCCTGGAGCAACAGTGACTGGTGAGGCCACAATGAGGGCTGGAAAGATGTCCARCCACAAATGACAGAGTCCATTTCATCTGGCTGCACAGAACAAGCCGCCATCCGCCAGTGCGATGCTGGTGAGCGAGGCCTGACAAAAGACAGCAGATACCTCCTGCGCTAGTGCTGCGCAGTGCAGGATGTGCTCTGGGAGCACAAACAAC